CACATTTGGACCGCACAGATGAATCTTACAACTATGACGATTGCTAGCATAACAGGAACACCCTCCAAACTGCTCGTCAACCATCCAAAAATTAATTTGACGTTTCATTAAACTGGAATTACTAATATATCTCGAGATAACAAACTTCGTACCTAATCTCATACTATGAGTCACATACTGCTTATTTACAAACATATAGCCAACAATGAATTAAGTATTATGGGCTAACATTACACTGATCAGTTCCTCTTAGACCATAGCATAAACTGTGAAGGTAGAAAAAACAAACAACAGATCAATTTAATTATTATCACATATCAACATACTCTTTCGATGACATTTATCGGACCATACCTGATATTTTAGTGGGAGAGGGAATGAACTTTTCATACGGAAAAATACGTAACTTAGGTGTGAAGATGGATTGTATATTGAACTAAGCGATTATAACACATAGAGGAATGCACACTTGATCCACCACACCACCAGAGCGAATAACACATCATTACATTCCCATGATAAGAGAGTAATCATGGAGAAATTTAAGATTATAACCAAAGTTCATTGATAAGAAATGAATAAAAAATAAAAAAAAGAGCAAAAAGAATATAAAAAAACATTTTCCAAACGAGCATTTAGACACGTTATGCAGTATCTCTTGTTAAGTAGCAATAATATGTAGTATAGAACGTCTATAGATAGTAGGGTCCAGTGAAGTGTGGGAAAGTGTAAGTATGAAACATAACTCAGTACAGCACCGAAAGACTAAGGATTTTGATAGATAAGGGATGAATTATTTAAGACGATTCGTTTCATATAAAAGGAGATAAACAATGCAATAGGACGATGTTATATTAAAAGAGAGAGATCATACATACTTTCACTTACATAACACAATGAAAAGTAGTTAGAGCCATATCCAATGATCTTACTATGAAAAAAGGACTTGCATGCGTAGAAGTCATCTTTGAACATTATATCTCTATAGGATACTTTCAACTATTACACTGAGTAGAGATGTAACTAAAGTAGCCAATAAAGACTATCTATTAATTATAACATGCATGAATGTTAAGACACATAAATATATCTAAAGAGTAGAACAGGGAATACCAGAAATAAATTGTCATGCTCACAAGAATAAGATGACCTCAAGAGAAAACATAAAGATATTCAAGATAATGAATTAACTATCAATATAAATATATACAGAGGTATAAAAACTGAAAAAAAAAAAATGAGAAGAACTAAGATACACAAAATTAAGATATAAAAAGAGTGGAGAGGGGGAAGAGAGAAGAGCCGATTGGGAGAGCATATGAGAACTGTAAAGCAATTGGTACTATATATATGATACTTGAGACAATGAAGAAGGGAGAATGAGCAAACGGAGTTACAAAATTAATTATAATAATAAAAGTCTTATTATAGAGAAAACTAGCGGGTTCACGTTGCCTTTAAATCATCATGTTGATATGCCTGCTATCGATTGATTAGTAAAAAAATCATATACAGAAAAACAATTGTCTTTAAGTCAAGAGTTCAAATGACCAGAAAACAAAAGACTGCTAGAACTGAGCTCTAAAACAGAATTCAAGCCTGAGACACTAGTAGAGATCAGAGAACATCTAGACGCAACAACCTCAGATCAACTAACCGCGGCTTACTAAAAAATCAAGGAGAATAAATACCTAACAACCAGGCAATGGTGTGAAAATTCAGTCTACATGTCTACACAAAAATCGAGGAGGACTTAGAGCAATACAGTATGATCACTTATAGCCTCAGATTCCAGTACATCGTGAAATATTAGGAATCATTGTAAAGATATTTAACACTTCCAAACTACCGCCAAACTCTAAGCGCCTAGAGCAACAGCAGACTGAGACTCAGAAAATAAAAAAAAGAAAGAGAAAAAGAAGTAAAAGAAAAGAAAATATGCGCATAACAAGAAGACAAGAAACATAGAAACAGATATATGGAAGAATAGAAGAAAAGTGAATGAAAGAGATGAAAGAGATAAGTGTATCATTATATAAGGAAAGGAAAGGAAAGAAAGGAAAGAAAAGACACAAGAAAAGAATGTAGAAAACCAAACATATATCATATGAATATAGATAATACAAAAAGAAAGAGAAAAAAAAACTACTATCTTATTACAAAAATAAAAATCACGAGCAAAATACATGAGTGAGATAGTTTAGGAAGATTATTTTAATGTTCTATTCAGATGTATAGTAATGCCATCTGCCTTCACATCCATTTTACTAGTGTAATGGTGCAAAACTAGTTAACCTCTCTAAGCGCATTCTCTTCATATAAAACAGAAAAATGTAACAATATAAATCTATAGAAATTTTTGTAATAGATTATAAAGAGATCATAACATTTGGACTAATACATGTACTCAAGAAAGTTCAAACTTATTAATAGTAACCTAAGAGAGGAAAGAAAGACTAGCATTTATCTTGGGGAGACAATATTACACATATGGCTGGAATAACCATTCCTCAAAAACAACTTAAATATGAATGAAAGAGAGACTAACTATGAAGGATTATGAACTGAACAAAAAAATGGACAACAATACAAGAAAAACTTAATGAAAGTTCAGTCTCTTAGGATACATGCATTGATATCATCTTCTAATTGTGCCAAGATAGAATAAGCGGCATGGAACTTGAAACAGACATATGTACATATACAAAGAAAGGCATACAAAATAGTCATACTAACTGAAGTACAAGGGGTTTGGCTTCTTAGGAGGCAAGTTTGATTGTCTAATACTCTATTTTGAACTATGCTGAATCATGAAGAAGGATTAATGACCGATAGGAGACAACTAACAAAGGCATGTGAGAGCAGAAGGCACCTAAATAGTATAACAAATTTCGGGAGGAAGGAGACTAATACGAGCGTCAAGTAAAAGAATTTATCCCATTCAAAAAGTTATGAGAAGATGTAATTTGCCAGTTAACCAAAAAGCTTTCCTAGACTCTAACTTTTATACAACAGGAATCAAAAATGCAACCAAATTAGGGAATACACACAAGAAATAAAGATATGATTCACTTAAAATTGCCAAAGGGAGAACAACAAGATAAAACAATAGTACAACGTAGTAAATAATACAGATAATTGAGTAGATGATATTTAGAATATGATTATAAATGACCTAAAAAGCAAAGAAAATGGTACAGGTCACCAGGTGTCAATCAAGAGAGCATGAATGAAAACAAGATGTAGAGCAGTATGTGAATCCTTGCTATTCATATAAACTAATAAGCCAAATGCTACATCCAACGAACAGAGTAGTCAACCGAATCTGAAAAATATAACTGTACTTAAAATAATGGATGAGTACCAGATATAGTCAAGTTTAGACACAGATACAGGGAAAAAATTAGTTATCATAGTGGACTTGGATCCACTTACATTGATCTTACAGTCCCTTAAGTCCTATTCTTAATTATGTGTTCCTTGTGTGAATTTCTACAAATATATTCGATAGCGTTTATCCGAATATTACTTTTTGAATTTCTTTACTATTCCGAATAGTATATTTACTTGACCATTTACACGAGGCATATTTTGGCTAAGCAAAAGTATCCACACACTAAGTAGATCCTTACACTGCATTCTGACAAGATTTCATAAGTATGTACTATTATTATTCCCATTTTGCAAGTGAGAACACTAAGACTCCCAAGTCACATAACTGATGATCAGTGTGAGTTCATACTCAGGCAGTCGTGATTTCAAGCCCCCAGCATCTTAGCCCTGATTTTGTTATGATTGAGCATTTGAATTAATTAATACTGGGTATAAAACAAGCAGAAGAAGAAAAAGGAAGAGAAAACTGGTTTTTATAACAATTCTATGTGAGATAGCAAGGCAACTACTCCTCATTTAGTCCTGTATAATAAAAAACATGTAATGATGGGTGAAGTGTTCCCCTTTTTTTCTTTTTATTTCATCCTATTATTGAGGTACAAATATTGTTAAGGTTACATATATTGCCCCTGCCACCCCTCCCCCCTGCCTATTCAACTTCAAGGCGAGGTCCACCCTCCCAGGTGGTGCGCATGGCACTCATTAATGTATAGATACACCTCCATCCCGTCCTCCCCTCCTGTGTTCCCATTTAACAGGTGAAAAATGGAAACTCAGCCAAGTTACGTTGCCCAAATTTGATATGTTAACACATGATTGAAATAGGAAACCATCCAACCAAATTGTGGCTTATTAATCTCCTTCTCTTCCTGCTGAAGTCATTTTATAGTTTTCTGAGAAATATTCAGATCGAACATCCTCACTTTTCTGAATTGAAATACTAAGTAACCAGACTGTGGTTCTTTCTGGCCTGAATTCAACAATTTTGGATAGGAAAGAGTATAGAATTTCAGTTTAGAAATTTAAAAGCTGTATTCTTCAAGCAGATAAGACAATAAGAAAACCAGAGTAG